GTTTGTTCATATTACCGGAGCTAATGAAATTCTTTTTGCATATTGAACAACTGTACGGCTTCTCACCGGTATGAATCAACATGTGTTTGTTCATATTACCGGAGCCAGTGAAATTCTTTTTGCATATTGAACAACTGTACGGCTTCTCACCGGTATGAATCAACATGTGTTTGTTCATATTACCGGAGCTAGTGAAATTCTTTTTGCATATCGAACAACTGTACGGCTTTTCACCGGTATGAATCATCATATGTTTTTTCACATCCCCGAACTGAGTGAAATTCGCATATTGAACAACTGTACGGCTTCTCACCGGTATGAATCAACATGTGTTTGTTCATATTACCGGAGCTAATGAAATTCTTTTTGCATATTGAACAACTGTACGGCTTCTCACCGGTATGAATCAACATGTGTTTGTTCATATTACCGGAGCTAATGAAATTCTTTTTGCATATTGAACAACTGTACGGCTTCTCACCGGTATGAATCAACATGTGTTTGTTCATATTGCCGGAGCTAATGAAATTCTTTTTGCATATTGAACAACTGTACGGCTTCTCACCGGTATGAGTCATCATATGTGATTTCATATATATTACTTCCTTTCGACATATATCACAACGCTGCTTTTTTCTCGTCCTTCTTTCTTGCTTTGATAGTTTCACTACTTCCATCAGTTTTTCGATTGGAACGAGCCGTAACAGCGGTTTTATTCGTTCATTACTTACCTCCTCCATTGATAAACTTTGTGACTTATTTCCTTCCTCTTTCAATTTTGAAGCTGATAAATCCAAGGGCTTTGTTTGAAGCAATTGCAATCCAATCTCTTCTTCATTCTCTCTTTCCATTGATAAGCCTTGTAATCCATCCCTCTTCTCTTTCGCTTTTGATATTGATAAATCCAACGGTTCTGTTTGATCCGTTTGCGCTACCTCAAATGATATGAAATTATCAATCTGATACCGTGTAAAATTTTAAATCTCATTCTATGTTGCATTTTTAAACTTTAAATGGACTTACGGTGGTTTGAATATTGCTTAGTTGGAAGAAGAAGAAAATATAGATGAAATGCATGTCAATGAATAATTTCTTGCCAATTCTGAAAAATGCGAAAAGGAGAAATTTTTTCAAGTAAGTGCTTTTTTAAATATATTAGATTATTTACAAATTTATCATCGAATCCAAAATCCCTGTCATAATTCAAAAGTTTGAAGAGCAGTAACATCTTCTATCAAAATAAGTGAAGCAGAACTTACTGAATGAAATTTGTAGGAGAGTTTGATAGAGGCTACCTGATTACTTCTGTTTAAATATTGTTGGAGAATTGTATGTATAAATGCTCATTCAGATGGGAGTGGCAAACTACGTGGATTGATAACCTATGTCCACGTATAATAACACAGGTATAGTAATAACAATAGAATATAAAATAATACGTACAATAAATGATATGATAGGCAATCACTATTTAATCCTTTACACTAAATAATTCCATTTCTGTTGCTATATGGTATTGTTGCAAATAATTTATGCAAGGCAATTTTTCTTTTTTTTATTCTGCGTGATTCATGCATTATTTAAATGGTGGAATTTTCTTTATCTCTATGAAAAGGAAAGAAAAAAATAATTTTTGCACAATTTTTTTGAACTTCATTGATTGAAGATACCATCTAGGAAATGGGCATACATGTCAATGAGGGATTTTTTGTGATACCAGACGATAACGTGATTGTGGGATAAATACATAATAATAGGTCGATGACGAGTAAAACGCATCCGCAAACATTTGAGACAAATAGACGTGGAAATTTAGAATCACACGCAGAATCATTAAACTTTGTGCACTTTAAAGAAAAGAAATGCGCTTTCACTGTGATCCCTGTAATGCATTTCTCAACATCAGATGCATCTATTGATTTCATTTGTGTGCTATGCACGAGAGATTTGTAAAAGATAGCTACTATTTGTTGTGAAAAAAAATGTTACTTTTACAGGCAGTCATCTATCACGTAGGTATTTTTTTTCCTGTATTTTAATTTTGCTAAATTATGTTTTAATTAAATGCCAGCAATAAATTACAACATCGGCTGCAGTTTTCTTCCAGGTATCTTTACATATTAGATTAATAGATAACAGATTAGCGAAAGCCGGATCAACTACTAATAAGATTAAATCCAAAACTTTCTTTATATTTGTTTTTTTTTTTTTTTCAAAAATAAAAAGCATTATATTGCTTATATCACCCAAAAATTTTCAAATAGTAGAAATATTATTTTGAGGTGTCATTAAATTCCTAGACTGAAGAGTCAGTTATTTAAAAAATTGATTGTTAATCTGATAAAAACATGTTTTAATCTTCTATCGGTGCAATAATTTAGACTTTATTAATTTCATTAGGTTTTACTTTATGTCTTATTGTCGCGAATGTTAATAATCAATCAGTTAGTTTCATGGGAGGGAGAGTGGAAAGGAATTCTCTTTTCTCAAAAAAGCGTCAATCACAAATTCAATATTAAACGATGTATGATGTAGTAATTTATGATAACATACAAATGAATTAGAGTTTGCCGATATGTCCTGAGATATCTTTTGATTCACTCAGATATTCTTGAGAAATATCAGTACTGAAAATAGTTTTAATCTTTGATAAGTACAAAGATGAATATCGGATAAATCCTGACCATCTAAGGTATTTGTATCAATTATTTCTATACTTCAATAAACAATTGAAATTAATATTCACTTATTATAAAGCTTTAGTGAGAACAAGTAACATATAAATAAACACTGATTTGGTGACTCGTTACATTTTAGCATTGCGATACAAAACGAAAGAAATTATATTCAATAAATTTTATACATGAGCAGAATTGAGACTGTAATTAATTTTTCATTTCTTTATATCTGGAAAATAGCTCATAAACAACAGAATATTTATGTTTTATCAGTATCACAATATATCAATTCAAAAATTTACAATGCCAACTTTGCTTTGAACTTATATTTTTTTTTCATCCTAAAACTATTCACATTAAATGAAGACAACATGCATTAAATGAGGCAAATTTCATATTGAATGTATTATTATCAATTAACATGCAAAAAAAAATTTTAGCTAAATTAAAAAAATTTGAAATGATTGCAATTGAATAATTGATAAGACATTCTTAGCTAAGTAACACTGATAGAAGAAATGAATTACTGGGAAATTCTCTTGATAAAAGCAAATTTTCGATATCGTTTACTTGAATGCTTGCAATGTTAACTGTCCATGTGGAAATTTCATGAATGCATAATATAACTTCAAAATAAACTTCGAAGCTTAAGGTTTCAGTTAATCGTAAGTCTTACCAGTTAAAGCTGACCAATGCTGCATTTTCAACTTGCAGAACAATTGCCACTGCTGCTCCTCATTTTTGTCAAAGAATTAGTCAATGCTGGAATATATAATGGATCGTCACATCGAATAATATTCGAATTATCTAATTTTAGATAACGCAATGTTGAATTGTATTGCAATGAATATATCCAGTTTTGAAATTTGCAAATACGCAATTTAATTTTCAAAAATTTCTATTTGAACTTTGAATTTTTAATTTAGAATTATTTACATAAGATTTAGCTGAACAATTAATGAATCAAAGAAAAATGATACATGAATGAATCATTGTAGACGTTTAAGATATTTCTCGGCTAAAAACATGATGTACTATAAACTATTTCTAATCGGTAAAGAAAAGTATTCATGATGAACAAATTTAAAGAAACTAAATTTCGCTGTTAAAAATTATAAAACTTGAACTGTGAAGAATTAAAATTATCATATAATGTTTTCATAAAATTTAATGCAAGTGTCACTTTACGTCAATGTTTTCGCATTGCTTATTAAAATTCTGCGATTTTATGCTTAAATTCTTATCGAAACAGCATTTTTAACTTGTTTATTGTCTTCAAAATCTCATTCATAAATTAAAGATTCAGTAATTTCAATTGTTCGTGGCATTATTTCAAACGGAAGCTAATATTGTTTACAACTTTCATAAACATTTTTAAATGAGATCAAATAGAAGCATTTTCTCTTTCAATCTTCTCCCTTATGCTTTTCTCTGTAGCAAAATACTTTTTTCAGTGCTCTGATTGTTCTGGACTATATATGTATTCGTGTTTCAATAATTTCAGACGTTGAAATTGCTAAAGTTTATGGAAAAGTTGATGATATAACTTTGCTAGCTGTATACCAACAACTACGTGTATCACGTGATCACAAATGAAGCATGTAAATTTTGACTTATTTGTTACCTCCTATAACTGCAAAGTTTTTGAACTGTTCAAATATTATTTAAATGGTACCAGCTATATTAATCTCATAATTCATTTGCCAAGTATTTCGCTTTTATTTGTCAAGTAAGTGACTTATTTGTAATGAACCAAATTGAAATAATAATATTATATAATATAAAATTGTTACTATCGCAAATGAATTTCATTTATATAAACCAATAAAGATTGATGTGGTACAATAAAAAAAAATCATATATGTGATTCGTTCGAGTTGAAAATTTGCAGTTCATAAATTTCTATTAAAATTTTGAAAAGCACAAAATTTTTAAATTTCAAGAAAAAAGAAAATCTGAAAGTCTTGATGTCAAATAAGTCATGTTTGTTTCACTGAATGATAAATAAAAAGCTGTTTTTCTTTGCCACTTTTTCATATATTCATATGAAAAACCCCTTTCTGTAATTAACATATCAATTTATCACAAATTATCCCTATCACAAAACCAATTGCAAATTTTCCAACAACAATGAAAAGATATTAGTATTTTAACTAACCTTCCAAACAAATAAAAATTAATTGAATTAATTTTATTACTATTATAACTTTTAAAAATATCTACTTTTGATTACAAGCAGTTTATTACTGATATCTGAGGAGCAGAATTTTAGAATGAAAATTAATAGTTTCGTAAAAGATAAATTGATTTCATTTAGTGAAATTAGGGCATTTTAAAAGCATAGCATATGATATTATCCTTCTGATATTGGCAGAAACTTGAAGTGGTAAGTACTGAATAGGACAGATCGCTGTTGCTGCAGAGAACATTGAAATGTCCACCGAGTTGAGTTTCCGATATTTTTTGAATTAAACGTTGTGATTCAGCAGCAGTTGTCGAAATATTCTGCAAAGATAAGAAAAAATGATTCTATCATTTCCAGCGAGCATTATTTGATTGATTGGTTGATTGATCGATTGATCAATTGATTGAATGATTAGTAGGAAATGAATTAATTAGCTGTAAAGTTGTAAATTAAGCATAAACATTAATCCATACTTCACTCATTATTTCTTGCAAGCTTTTGCTATTGCATACAGGATTCACTGGTAATTTGGTGCTATTATTGATTAATAATTCATCTTCCGCTAATAATTCACGTTTCTTCCGTGCAATACACGGAATTGCGCAAGTACTGCAGCAGGTATTTTCAATAATAGGAATTTTTCGTACTACTGGCACTATTACTCGATAAGTAACAAGTACCGGTTGTTGTATTACTGTATTCTGAAATGGAAAATAATAAAACGATGAATGTCAGGTGGGATTCTTTTTGTTTATGCTTAAAATAATTGGAAGTACAATTGCTTGTTTAAAGGACATTAAACAAGTAACCAATAAACAAATCATTTAAATTTATCATTTTTTATAGCAAATATGCTTTTTGTTTCTTAATTCAGTGTAAACTTTAGCTAATTAATTCATATATATTAATCTTTTCTTCATTTGACTACCAAATTTTTAACAAATCAAAAAATTTCTTTTTTGCATAAATATTATATTTTAAAAGAAATTTTTACGCAAAAAAGAAAAGTTAAGAATAACTGATTGAAATACTTACAAGACATGGCGGACATGGAGGTGGTTGTGGACATGGTGACGGTACTGGACATGTTTGTAGTGGGCAACTGACCGGTGTGGGACACACGACAGGCTTAGAGCATGAAACTCCCGATGTTTGACAAGATGAGCAACGACATGGTGACGCTTCTATGACGTACACGTGTACTGTAACGAGGAACATAATACCACATTGACGGAACATTTCAGTCATTGAATAAGATCTGAAATGAGTTACCAAATGTAAGATTCTATAATGCATATTGCTAAAAAATTAATTTAAATCAGAAAATTTGATTCAAACTAAATTTGAGAATATTTCTTAATCAACAAAGTCTCTATTTGATGTTACATTATTTCTACGCGAACATTTAACTTTATTGAAAATGACGATTTAAATACTTTGTTTTTGGAGCTTTATGAAATAAAATTGGTCTGTTAAATAATAAACTTAAAATGTTGCTTAACACATCTTTACAACATTTCATAAAGTTCAGCACTTTAGTTCATGGAAAATTATAAAGCGAATATTTCAATTAATACCATTTTTTGCTACATAAAGATTTAAATATTAAAAAAAATAAGTTGTAAAAATTATTGCTTGTCGGATAATCAGATTATCATTAGGTGATAAATTTATCATTATCTATATTAAACAGAAAGTAAAATGCTGAAGTATTAGACAAAAATTATTGATGCTAAAGTATTTTGGATAGAAAAATGAAATGATATATGTACTGCATAATATGTTATTATTTTCTCAACATTTTTTAAGGCCTTTTATAGAGAATCGACAAACCGGAAACCGAATATGAAGAAGGAATTTGCAATTATTTCATGGAATATTTATGGGCCAAAAAAGGAAAAGAATTATATAAAAGGAAGGTTTGAGCAGCAATTAAGTATCAAAACAGTTCCACCTTGTAAACTTTTCTATTTTTTTTTTTTTTAATTTCATATAAATGATTCATAAACAGAGAATTCTCATAGTAACCTCAAAAAGTTATGTCTACGATTAATAGTGACATAAAAGAAAATAATTATGTAATGAAATTTTCATTTCTTTTCATGAATTTTTTCTGTCCAAATCAAATTGCTTATGCCTGCAAAAAGTTATTCTAGAAATTGTAAACTGTTTCTTTTCTGAATTGATACCTGAGTTTTGCTTGTCAGGTGTAAGTTATTATTATTTAAGTATTTCATGAATCTGATAAATAATCATAAAAACAAGAAATGGGAAAGGAAAAAAATAAATTCCCTGCACAATCTCGGCTTGTTAGATGGATGAAAAAACCGGATTAGATTCAGAAGTTAGCTAAACTTAAATTAACGAATGCATTATTGATCGGATCGGTGATTATTCCATAGTAAAATAAGTAAATTATTTAAACATTTTTAGAAAAATGTTCAATTATTTCTTTCTGTTGTCCACTACCCAATTTGCATTATTTGGCCTGTTGAGAGCAAGTTGCAATTGCCCATCGTGCCCGTCACCTCAACCATGTTCTGCTGAAAACTTCTGCCCACCACCAGTCATCTGCCAACCCAAAATCTGCCCGCCAGTACCAGTTTGCCCTATTCTCTTACCTCAATCGTGCCCTGTATGCATTGTAAGTTATTTTACCAACATTTTTTTTTCAGTTTATTTCATTCTAAATATTGCAAAATTGCTAAATAAATTTTTGCATAAATTTTTTTAACTTTCCGTTGATTTTTTCTCTGTTTCAATTTATTAAAATTAAATTGTTTCATATTTTACAAACATTTATAACAAGTTCTGTAGCAGAATTTATTTATTAAATTTAGAAACCAACTATAAAAACAGTACCAATCCCAGTTGTAAAACCAATTTACAAAATAATTAATAAGCCAATTATTCTAAATGAATGTTGCAAAACATGTGGCAAACAATGTATTAAGCGGATGAAACGAAATATTTCAAATGATACAATTATTACAGTAAATTCTGTATGCAACAATAAAATACTCGGCGAAATTATTTCTAAGGTTTGAACATTTTTAAGCAATTTTAAATAAGAAAATTTTTACGTTACTATTTGCAATTTTCCATAAATAATTATTGCAGATAATTTAACTATTATTATTTTCAAAAGATTGCTATCACCAAATAAATAAATGCTAATTCAGTGAATTAAATTTTAAAATGTAAATTAATTTTTTTTTTTTTTTACAGATGATGACATCAAATCTAATAGTGTCACAAAAGCTAATCATGAAAAAAGTGACAAAATTACTGGGTGAATACAATATCTTTTGTAGCACTGGTGATCTTACTTACAGTGCATATACCGTTGATTTCTGCCAGGTGAACAAAGCTGGCATAGTTTGTTATGCTTTTAAAAATTTGTGATACTTCAGAAACAGCAGAGGAAAGCGCAAATATTTCAGAATTTTTAAACTCTGTAAAATATGCATGAAAGATTTTCACACTTTTAATCAGTATCCCTTCCAAATAAAACTATGAATTTTCATTGTCATTTAAATTTTCTTTTGTATTCTATCATACTGCCATTGTAAAATTTTAATTTTAATGCTTTTTGCAATAAAAATGTCACTCGTTTTTGTCAATTTCGTTGATTTTTAAAGCAGTACTTCAAGCTTTGCATTTTTCAGCAAATTTTTTTTATGCCATATGCAAGCACTGTATGTGCATTTTGAAATGATTTATTTATTTTTCTCTGTCGAAAAATCTTTCTTCATTTTTTGGTATTTTCAAATAGCAATAAATGATTAATGAAAAATACATAAGCAGAAAGAAAAAAAAAAAGATTCATCAAAATTCGAATCAATCATTTCAGGCAAGACAAAATTTCTTTTATTTTATTTTTTTTTTTTTTTGCTAATTAAGAAATAAATAATTAAGTAAGCGAATATATAGTTTTTTGAACGGAATAATGAAAAGGAAAAAGGAAACAAAAAAGTTAAAAAAAAAGAACTGCTATCCGATCAAAATTCTCTTTTATATTCCGGTTAGAGCACTTAAGATTGATTAATCATAATTTATTACTAATTATTACTTCTTAGGTGCATGTTGTATACCATCACTATAACATGTAAATATAAATTAAACTTAATTTTTCATCCAAAGAATTGTTTCTCTGAAAGAATGCATAAATCAATTCATTTCTATTTTTTGAAATGAAAGTGACATAATGGAATTTTGAAATTCTAATTGAAAACGAGTTCATCAAATATCAAAATTTCAAATGCAAGAGAAAAGTTCAAATACGAAAATTTCTTTTTGTTCTTATTACTTATTTCAAAATTTCGTATAACAAATTGTATTGGCTAAAAGCGATAAATTTATGGGAAGTAAAAGAGCTGTGAAAGTAAAAAAACTCCAAAAAATAACATAAAAATTTTCATTCAAAATTATGACAAATTGTAGAATTGAAGTTACTTCATTTTGTAAAAAATTAAAACAATTTTCTGGAAATATAAATTTAAAAAATGTAATTAGAAACAGAAAATGTTCATATTTGCTTTCCAATAGTGAATATTTTTGTCATTTGCAGCAATTTTAAAAAAAATTTGAAAAAAGGAAATTATAAGATTTCACTTCAGTTTTCTTTATTTTTATTTTTAATTAATTAATGGTTTTTTTTTTTTTTAACAGCTCAGTACTTTTATTTGTGAAACACAAAAATGTAACAGCTAATTGCGCTTCGAGAGTAATGCGGATGATATAAGTAAACGTACAAATAACGTTGAAGAAAATGTCTTAAAATCACGTAAAAAAACATACATTTTTTAAAAAAAGTGAAATTCCACTTAGATTTGGCTTGCAACTTACAAAATGAGTAATTCATCATTATTTGGTAAAAATCATTATTGAATTATTAATAATTAATATCAAAGTAAATAAAAACAAAGTAAATAAAATCAGAAAAAATTCTATTTTACGAATTGATACTTATATTATCTATATTTGATTTCAAATTAACACTTGAACGGTAATATTAATTATTAATCGTCGTTTTTGCTAGAACTGATATTGTTGGTTGTCGTATCGTTAACTTTCACAAAATTACATCTCTAAAAAGTGAGCTAATTTTTACTGCATGTAATTGACATGAATTACTTTAAAAGAAAGAACAGAAGGAAATAAATTGTCACTTATCAAATCAATAACTCAGGAAAGTATAAAAAAACGATAATTTAATCAGCTAGAATTATTTAAAGTTAACTAATCATTTCAACTATCATTTCTTGTCTTCCATTTGTATTTTCAATCAGAAAATTTCAATACATACGTTTGAATATGTCTGGTTTGTTTCGTTACAATTCGTTTCATCACTATTAATTGAACCTTAACATTTATAATTTTAAAAGAATTTAAAAGCAAGACTGGCAAATTTTATTTCTTAATGATAAACAATTGAAGAAAGGATAACAATAAGTTTCTAATACATTAATAACTCTAGCTACACCATTAAGCATTTGTCCCACATTAACAGCAACGAAATAATTAAAATTTACTTTTTTCAACTTTTTTGCTTTCCCTTATACTTTATGTTAAGATTTTCCATCCATTTGCTACAATGCAGCATATCTTATATACTACTACTCGTTTCACTCTACAAGATAGAACTTCTAAGTATAATTTCGAAGCTTTTTTTTAATCTTTAAAATCGATATGAAAGGACCTACGATTTTACCTAATAGTAATGATCGATACATTTCACCTTTCGACTCTAACATCGACGATTATTTATTGAAATAGTTATGTCTTTGATCTATCATAAAAAAATATCATTTTGTTTAGACATATTAAGTATTCTCGTGATATGACTTATAGCTATTACTTCTTATACAATTTGAAGACTGTAATAAACTGTAATAAATAATAAACTCTGCACAAAGATAATATTTTTTGTACAGCGATTAGTTTTACAATTTGTCAAAGTAGATTTCAAAATTAATCAATTAATCATTTTATTTTAAGGCATAATTTGCTTTTCTATGAAACTTACCACTATCAAAATATCGAATAACATTTGATTCATCATTTAAACATTTGACGACACATTCTTGAATTGTCAAAAAATTATTTTCATTTCCACCCATTCCGGAATAAATGAATGGTATGCATTGCCGGAGAGCAGCATTGTAATACACACGTTTCTCTTGTCCGATTCCATGACCAATTTGTACCGGAATGCTGCATGGTGACATGAATGCTATAAATTTGTTCAATTTAGCAATGATTCTAACTGATATCTTTTCTTTTATTTAACAACATTTTTTAACGGATCAGTTTTGTAACGATGTAATGAGCATGAAAATAATGAGGTAAAAGATGCTACATTAACCTTTAACCTTATCTTGATTATTTCTTGTTAATTTTTGTAAATACTTCGGCATAAATTAATGAAAAATTTTTCATGATATTTAATAAAGTTGAATGCTCACTTGTGACTTTGCAACATACAGTTGTTGATATGTCAGCTCCAATGTGACAAAAATAATTTGCAGGACACGGATTGGTGACAGAACAATGTGTGATTACTTCCCTTTCATCCTGATATGGCATTCCTGTTGGACAGATAGCCGGTAAATTTGACAGTGGTAACAATGATAATGGTGATACTACCATAACAGATTCACCTTCTGCAAATTGTTAAAATCAATTTAATTCAAATAAATTTAAAACCAATAAAATGTGATATATGAAATTTTCTTGCAGTTTAATCATAAATTTGTACTTTTTGAAAGATTTTTTCTACTATTTCAATATGCTAAATAAAATATTAATTACTAATTCCTTTTCATAATTATACTAATTTTTTTCTATAACTGAAATAAAACTGAAACAGGTATAATCAAATTAAATTATAACATTAACATTAATTAAATATAGTACTAATATGGCTAATATTCACACCTGGACAATGTTTAGCACAGTCAGCTCTTGTTAAGAAATTGTTTTGATTACCACCAATACCAGCATATTGAAATGGCTTACAAGAGCCAGAAATACGATCATAGAACCAACGAGTGTATGGTCCCTTATCAGTGGCAATTCCTTGAGATAGTGGTAACTGACAAGGATCCGAAGCTAAATACAATATCTGATTGCAAGTTTAACTTTCACAGACGATGAAGAAACTCTTTTCATAAGTGATATTAAATAATTTGAAACTAGCATGAGGCATTCTACCTCCTGGACAGCACACTGTAGTATCAGCATCACCACCCACATGACACCAATATGTTGGTGGACAGTAATATGCGTTTTGAATATTACATTTTGCTAACGCTAGCAAATTATTCGAACTTGCTACGGTACTTTCGAACGGACATGGATTTCGAAGAACTGAAATTTTATTAAATTTTTAAAAGTTCTTTTATAAATTCGATTTTCAAAATTAAAAGTTGCAATTTTAAGTGCTTTCTTTGCTTTCAATTTCTAGTAGTAGAATAATCGTGAATTGATTAATGTAAATTAAGAATATTTACCTGGACATTTTTGCATGCAAGCTTCAACTGTTAAAAAATTATTTTCATTACCACCAAGACCAGTATACATAAAATGAAGGCACTGCCGAGAATTTTGATCAAAAAACCATCTGAAAGATTGATTGAAGTAGTAATGAAATTTTAAATTAAAAAATTTAATTTCATTATGAAAAAAAAATTGATTTCAATACACCGGTCGCTGAATGAAATAATACTGATTTAGTGGAAAAAAAAGTGAAAGGAACCTGCTAAGTGAAGCATTTCCGGTTCCGACAACTAATGGTGATAAGCAGGGTTGACCAAACGATGGACAGCAAACTGATGTCTCAGGTGTCGCACCAATGTTACAGAAATAGGATGTTGGACATTGAGGATGTAATGCGGTACATTGCAAAATATTACCATCTATGGATTGGGCTGGATCACCCATTGAACATGGATTCCTGAAAGATTTTCTCATTTTAAAAGAAAAATTTTTAATTTAAAAGATCAAAAAAAGGAAAGAATTATTTGAGTGGAATAAAAATATGGACTAAAAAACTATGCTGAAGTAGAAAATATTCACACAACAAAGTAAATGAAAAAGTTTAAAATTTTGGTTTATAATTATTTTTAGTATAATTTAATATAAAAACGAAAAGTTACGCTAATTCGGGACATTTCTCCTGACATTCCTTTAATGTTTGAAAATTATTCTGATTACCACCATAACCTGAATAGGTAAATGTAGCACATTGATGTAAACGACGATCAAAGTACCAACGTGGAATTGCTACACTTCCGGAACCTTCCGCAAGCGGCAAAACGCATGCATTTTGAGCTAAAATTTGTTAAGATAAGATAATGCGATAAAAATTTAACAATTAAACTAATCTTCCGAATTCATGCTTAAAAATTAATACAGTAGTTCCATTATTCCAAAGCTTCTAAAATCACAATTCAAGAAACTTTAAAAAAATCTCGAGAATAAAAAACAAACCACCAGGACAACACAAAGAGGCAGCGATATCAGCACCTACATGGCACCAGTAGCCAACCGGACAAATATTAGGTCCACTAGTTGAACAGATTAGATATCGTCCATCACTTCCTGCTGCTGGTTCACCGTCCGCACATGGATTTGAAATTACTGAAACTTTTCAAAATATTCAAATTTTATAGTATGAAAATGTAATTGATTATCTGCTAAATAATGGAAGGAAATATTTTTCATTTTCAATATTATTGTAATACAAACAAAGTATTAACAACTGCATGAAATAAATCGCAGAAATTTGTAAAATTACTTTTTAAATGAGAGAATTTTAATTTCAATTCAGTAATACAAACCAGGACATGTTGCTTCACAACTTGCTCGTGACAGGAAATTATTTTCATTTCCACCCAAACCGGTATAAATAAATGGTAAACACTGTTTGGTTAACGATACAAATGCATAACGGTTCAATTGTGCTTGACCAGTTCCCGGTACACTCGGTTCATTGCAAATATCATTGGATTTTCCTGGACAACAAACCGTTGTCTCCTCTGTGTCACCAATATGACAGAAGTAGCCCGTGTTACAAACGCTGTAAAAATTGTTGTTAATAATAATAATAATAATAATAATAATAATAATAATAATAATAATAATAATAATAATAATAATAATAATAATGAAAGATATAATTTTTAAATTCAAAATTTATGTTTTGCACAAGATTGACATTTTTACAAAATTTTTCTTAAATTTTAAAGTAATTTTTGGAGTTCCAGATAAGACTTATTGTAAGGAATTATGATAATAATTGTAGGTTGCAGATAACCAACCTAGCATCGGTAGCACTGCACATAACTGGATTCTGGTGTTCATCTGTTTGTGGTGGTCCAAGTCCACATGGATTTGGCAGTACTAAAAAATGTAAACTTTTTTTCAACATTCAAAAACATAACTGAGTATAGTGCAATTCAAATCTTTATTAAAACACATCCATTCATGAATTCCATGTCACGTACGTCACAAATGCGTAATATAATTAGATATTACACGGATCCAGGAATCAACAGATGATCACAGAATTCAAATTGGAAGACGTTTCATAAATAATTATTATTACCTGGACAACGTGCTTCGCAATCTCGTAACGTCAGAAAATTATTCTCGTTTCCCCCAAGACCAGAGTACTGGAATTGCTGACAGGTATGCGTTGCTGAATCATAATAAAATCGTACCAATAATGCATCACCGCTTCCTACTTCTAGTTCCTGCTCGCATGGTATCCCATTAGCAGGACAGCAAACCTGAATTGTGGTTGACAGGTATAATCATTAGCATCGCCCTCCCTCCAACTCATCTAAACCGTTTCTGTATTTATAGAAGCATCAAATTGAAACGGTCCATGGATTTAGTTAAAACAGTAAGTATTTCTACAAGGTAGCGCACCGAATTCTCCAGCGATGCACCAATGTGACACCAATAAGTTGTTGGACATATCAACGGTCCAGTAGCGCCGCAGCGTGTAATTTGTCCACTTAGACCGATATGAGGACGTCCAGTAGAGCAGGGATTTCTAAAATTGGTTAGGGAGAAATTTATCTTTTTCTTGGTTTATCATTCTATTTTTTGAAATTTAATTTGAAAACTATTTGTATTTCATTTCTTTCCAATATTCTATTATATACCAGCTTGGGTATATATACACAATTGTTATAACTTTTCATCCTTGAAAAAAGAAATTTTGGCTTCTCATTTATCATCAGCATAATTAATTAAAAATGTCAAATTGTTAATATTAATAGTAATTAAAAATAATTTTATATTGTCACTGTTAATGATAATAATAGCAAATATTATTGATAGTAATAATGAATTATCTTTCATAAGTATTGCCCATACTCAGTTTATGGCTAAACTTAGAAATCTGAACCAGAATATAATCGCACCTAAATTCAGGACATGCTTTAATGCAATCTTCACGTGTTCGAAAATTATTTGAATTACCACCTTGACCACTATAAACAAAATTCACACAAATTTGTGATTGTGTATTGTAATACCAACGATTCAAGACTGCATTTCCATTTCCACTGGATACTGGCATACGACAAGGATCACCAACTGAATGACATTTCCACAATAAGTTTCAGTCCATAAATTAATAAATTATTTGAAAGAAATAAATTTGCTCTGAATTTGACGTAATAATTTGGAGAAAACAAGTAGTAAAATCTGAAAATTAATCTTACTTGCAGGACAGCAAACTGTTGTTGAGGATGTCGCACCAATGTGACAATAGTAACCGATACTACACTTACTGGTAGTGGTGGTGTCACTGTCACATAGTATTGGGTTACCTTCTGGACCCATAGCTGGTAGGCCATTTTCACAAGGATTCTCTAATATCGGGCATGTTTCTTCACAATCCGTCTTTGACAAGAAATTATTCTAAAATTGATAGGAAAAATAAACAGAACATTCTTGCATCAGATCTAAATATATTATATACAAAAGAAGAAGGAAAAAAAAAACCGAATATAAGGATAAGTACTTAATTTTAAATAAATTTTCAAAAATATCAAATTAAATTTGTGCGAATGGATAATTTATTTTTGAGATTCTATAAATATTCCAATAATTAAAGAAAACATCATTTGCTGAAGTAAACTAAAGATGTTAGAACTACCGAAATGTACGTTTGCTACAAAAGCAAATCTACGAAAGTAAATGGATTTTAAATGAAACAAACCTGATTTCCACCTTTTCCAGAATAAATAAACTTTTCACATGTTCTTGCTATACTGTTAAAATAGTATCGAGTAAGCTTTGCTTTACCTCTGCCCTCTAGCATGGGCTGAAAGCATGCTAAAGGTATAATTCCGACCATATCATTTTGTTCTACCAAATCAGTTCCTGTGTCTAGAGCTGCACCATTCAAATTTCGCATAAAATTCATCGATACCAAACTTCTTAGCGGTCTTATTGGATTTGTAATTGGTAGTGCATTTACATTTGCTACTGAAAATTTAAGGAAAATCAATGAATAGTTAAATATGCTAGAATTTAAAATATAATTTAGCATTAATAAATTGGTTCTATAACTTTATGAAGATAAAACTATTATAAAATTTCAAGTGGTACCAATTTCAATTAATTTTATCAATTATTTATAAATGTTTTATCAGTTATTCAGAATTTTAGACATTTATTATGCTCTCTTTGAATATTTAAAAGCTAACCGATGAATCATTTATTTGCAGGCACTACATACCTTATAATGGCTTTAAGAATTTTTCTATAAAATTTAAATAATTTACAAGATGGGCAACAGACTGATGTTTGTCGTCGATCTCCTATGTGACACCAATAATTAGGAGGACATAAAGGATTAATAGATGAGCAAAAGGCAACATTTCCATCATTTCTGTCAACGTATGGCAATCCAAGAGGACAAGGATTGTCATACTCTGTAAGTAATTTATTATAATAATGATTTTATGCAGCTGAAAATTTCAGATATGGCATAGATAAAACTGATTTTCACTTTCTGAATTTTTATAACAAAATCAAATCCGATTTTTTGGTAAAATAATTATGTCAGTTATTTCTGAATTATTGAGATACCCAGACTAGATTTTATTATTATTATGAAAATTTTAATCTAAAAATTTTTAGTCGCTCTAATTTTAAAACATTTTTACCAGGACAAGCCATCCGGCATTCCTGAATTGTTTCAAAGCTATTATCATTGCCACCGAATCCCGAATATATAAATGGTCGACATAGTGATGCTTCTGTATCGAAGTAGTATCGTGGCAAACTATATGTACCGGTTCCAGGTGCAAGCGGTTGCAAACAACGATTTCCTCCTCAAATTTAAACAAATAAATTTGCATCTTTAAAATGTAATATGTTCTGCTCTGTGAATTTCTAATTTCAGTTTCTCGAAATCGATCAATAATTCATACCTTTTGGCTTAAAAAATTTGAAACTTACGAATTGTTTCCATCGCTGTATTTGACACTAAATTTTGTACCCCAGTATTGAATTCGTTTGACATTCTAGCACCTCCAAATGCAGTCCCAACTGATGAATCAATAGAGATACCGGTGCTAACCGGATTACCACCAGGAAATATCGGAATACCAGAACTAATTGATTCAGATATTACAGGACTTTTTGGAATACCAGAATAAAAGTTAGCGAATGGATTTGCTCCACTAAAATCAGGTGCTTCAATCCTGGCACCAAACTGATTGGCAAAAGTACTTGGTTGTGATGCATTACCGAAACCTGACTTAATACCAGTGGCTGTACCTGACATATATCCGAGATGTCCACCGGAAAGAATAGGTTTGGCATTGATATAACTGATAGAGCTAATCGGTGAGATACCACTAATAGCCGCCATCTCAGCGGTATCAGTCGAATCAACAATTCTGCTTCTGTCAAAGGTGGATGAACTACCACTGCCACTTGTAAACTCGTTATAGATGCTACCATAAGCAGAGTTAATGTTTGCCGTAGGATTCAGTATCATATTTTTGCCATTAATAAGCATACTTTGATCAGTTCCCGGACAACAGGCTGTTTTTGTCAAATCATCCAGAACTCGGCAATAATATCCTTTTGGGCATGAATGGACATTTTCTGGTGTGCATCTAAAGCTTTGAAAATTTCATTAAATTGGAACAGATCTAAGAAAGAAAACGATAATCAAAGTGATAAGCTTATCAATTTATCATATTTACGATATCAGCTATAAATATGCATACTGTTCATGTGCATTTGTCTGCATTTGTGGTTCGCCATTTCCACATGGATTTGTAGCGCCGCAACTTTGCTGACATGTTCGAAATGTCAAAAAATTATTCTGATTCCCCTAGAAAGTAAAATAAAACTTATAAAGGAGAAGAAAATAATAGAATTTCTCTATATTTGTATTTAAATAATAAAAATAATAATAATTTGAAATTAATTATGATGATTTTCTTTTGTGCTTTTGAAGCCAATAATAATAATTATTATTATTAATAATGAATAATAATAATAAATACATATTTTTATTCAACCATTTTTCATTTTCAGACTTTTTTTTTTGCATTTGCTGTATGTGTAAATGATTTCGTACCTTGAAACCATTAAAAACAAACGTTTTGCAGAAATTATCACTGGCATCATAGTACCAACGCCTTAAACCGGTTAAACCAATTCCGGATTCTTGCGTTTGTTTGCATGGATTGTCAGCTTCAAATGGCAAAAAAAAAAAATAAACATTACAAATAAATTTAACAAAAAAAAATGATCATTTTGAAATTATAGACACTCGTTATTTAATACTTTTTTTTCTTGGAAATTTACAGTATTGTAAAGACTAATTTTGACAAAATTTTCAAATTTAAAACATATACTTAAAAAAAATTGTTTTTTAATTCCAATTAAAATATACTTAAAAATCGTTTTTTAATTCAATTAAAAATTGAAATTGAAATAAAGGAATATACCAATTATTGGACAACAGAATGTTTCTTGTGGTCCAGAACCAATTTGGCAAAATGTTCCACGAGGACACAGAAATGAATCAGACGGAGAGCAGTATTGCAATTGAAATCCAGTTGGCAGTGACCGGAGACAAGGATCAGTGATAGCTCCACTGATAATATCAACAATACCATCAACTTCCGACTTTGCTGAAATCGAATTGGTTTCATCGCTTCCAGACATCTAAATTTATATATAAATATTCCCTATAGATAATGTGTGCTACACTAATGTAATAAATTTAGTTTCGGTGTTATTTACTGTCAACACAATTTCGCAAAGGTTAAAGGTCAATAGCTAAACAATCAATTTTAGGTGTAATATTTCTATGTTCAACTAAAATAATAGACTTCAAAGAACTAAATTTTTTTTTCTGTAAAACTAATAATATAGTTATAAGTTGTATGAAATAAAAAAAAAAAAACTTTTTGTTAAAGGATATCACATTGCAATCATCGGAAGTAGTTTATTAAAAATTAAAAACTTATCATTTGAGAAGAGAGATTTTGAGTGTTCAAATTTTCACCGAAAGGCTTATTATATTGATTTGTATTGTTAGTTGTTGACATTAGTTCTGAAAATCAAATAAAATTGGTTCTACCTAAAATTAAGATAGAAATTCCTCAAATCATATTATTAAGTATAAACTTGCTGCAAGCACCATTTTTTGTGGAAGATAACAAATTACAATATAATATTATTTGACCTATCAATTTAAATACTAGATTTGTGATTATTTTATAGGAATTAATTTGGTAGTTATCGACGATAAAAGATCTGAATGATAATTTAATTAAAAAACCAATGAATATAGAAATAGTACTAATTTTTACTTGCTGCTTGTGAATGAGAAATTTTTGAAGAAATTTTAGAGATATTTCAAAGGGTAAAATTCTCTTGCAACTTTATTAGAACTTTCTTTCCTTATCTCAATTTATCAGAATACTGCTTTGCTTCATAATTCTTGATTCAATTAAAACTTCTTGTTCAAGTCGGTTACACAACTAATTTCAAAATACCTAGCAAACCTTTAACTTCTTCAACAAGAACCAAGTGCTGTGGAAGAACTGTTGTTAAAGATTGCAATTGTTTGAACTTTTCAAAATTAAATGTTGATTCTGTTGATAATGTGGACATTTCCTTTGTTGTAATTTGAGTAGTAACGAATGGCGATGGCGAGACAGTTGTAGTTGCAAGCGACCCTGATGATCGAGACTTTGTTAGATATTAAAATAATATTAATAATAATAGTAATAATAATAATAATAATGATAATTTAAATATTAACTGAGATAACACTAATAATTATTATTAATATTGTTATCGCTTATCATTAAATGATTCATTCATTTCATACCAGGATTTAAGCATGTCTTTGAACATTGTTCATATTTGGTAAAACGATTGTTATTGCCACCAAATCCAGTATAAACAAATTGTTTACAAGCTTTATTTCGAGAATCGTAATAAAAGCGAGGGATTTTATATGGACCAGTACCCCGCATAATGGGAAGTAAGCAAATATTGTCATCACTAGTATTCCCTGTAAAAAGAAGAAGAGAAAGTTTCTATTATTTATTTTGTCTGTTTAATTATTTTATTTACTCATTATTTTAGTACCTAAATCATTTCTTACTCATTTTTTTTTTCTTGAATAAACATAAACAAAATAAATTTTTCTGTCGTAAAAAAAAATAAATGAATAAACTCTTTGCTTAATTTATGTCATCATTTCCATATGCTATAAATTGTTATTTTTTTAAGTTTAGTTTCCCTACATTCAATTTCTTCACAAATTATGCTTTTAATTTGTTTAAGTTTTCCTTTTTTTTTTTTCTTTGAAGGAAAACAAATTTTTAACTTAAATTTTTATAACATATAGAAAACCTATTGTGTCATCTTTGTCATATGAAAATAGTATGTGATTTACATTTTTTTTTTTTAAAAAAACAATCCAAAAATTTCTCTGTTATCAAACTTTCTAATGCCACTAACCAATGCCACAAATATCCAAACATATGCGATCTGTTTCAAAATTATTCGCATTTCCTGCTGAACCCAAATAATTGAATCGAATACAGCGATCGGCGGAAATATCAAAATACCATCTAAAATTTGAAATGCAGATTTTTTTAAAAGAAAGTTATCATATTTTATAGAGATATATAACCATAAAAATAAACATTATCAGTTGAAAGTTGTGATTTTGTTTTAACTTGTAAAATTGACGAAAGCTACTTATAACAATGTGTGTAATTGCAACATTAATTAATCATATTTGAATTGAGTAATAACAACTATCAACAAGATGGTACCATTCTGGGAAGTTAGTGAAATATTACCGATAAGACGATGAAGTGCCACTAACAGTAACTCCTCGATCTGGACTGAGTTCACAAGGATTTGGGACAACATCTGAAACTGTAGGACAAGTGCGCAGAAATTTTGTTTACGTTAGCTAACATGATAAATGATCAGTTATGAAATGTTGTATCTATCATTTTAGAACATATTAGAAATAATGTTTTCTTTCTTTTTTTTTAGGTAAATAAAATAGGTTAGAAAATTAAGAAGAAATTATTTTGAATGATACTTTGTTGCTCCTCCACCGAAAACTTTTGATTGCCAACACCAAGTTTATTTGAAAGCGAACCATATGCTAATGATGCTGCAGATAGTTTACCTGAAATACTCGTATAGAATAGAATTTTATCAAAATTAAGACATAATAACTATTATATAGGAAAAATTATGCAAATTTGCAAATAATAAAAAGTTTTGAAAGTTAATTTCAGCATTGCCTTAACTAAAAGAAAAGAAAAACAAACAACGATTTTATGCAAGATGAAAGAATAATAATTATTTGAAATGAACCAAATAAACGGATAACAGTTTAACTAATAAAACAAATAATATTTTAATAAAAGGAATGTTTAGTAATTTATCGGCACAAAAAAAAAAATAATAATTGTCTTATTTAAATTATAAATTTTAGCACAAAAGGACAACTGAATAATAATTTACCTAAATATGCTTTTTCATAATATATTTTCATTCTGACAATATCAATATATTAAATAAAAACTGATAATAATTTACCCAGAACAATGAGAAGTATTTCATTTAAAAAAAAAAAAGTTATAACAATTCATCTACAACAGTATGTAAGAAGTAAAAGAAGTAATAATTTATTTGTCTTAACATAGAAAGCAAAAAGTTATGTAAATAAAGGAAAACAATAGTTGATCAAAGAATGGACAATAATTTACCCATTCAAAAGAATAATAATCTACCCTGGAAAAGAGAAATGAACGACAATTTACCCAATAAAAGAAAATAGTAATTAAACCAAAAGAATGAGCAATACTTTATCATTAAAGAAAAGAATGATGATAATTTAATTTTAAAAGTTAATTAATAATTTACCTAAGCATACTTTTTCACAATCTGTTTTTGTCATAAAATTATTTTCATTTCCACCGTATCCAGCATATGTTAATTGTTTACAGGTGGAACTTTTCCAATCATACCAAAATCGACCGATTTGTTCATTTCCATAACCATTTGCTGGTGCCAAATGGCAACGTTCTTTCACTGTAATTTGTTATTAATCGATTATAAAATATAAAATATAAAAATTATAAAATATAAAATAAAAATATAAAATAATTTGTTATTAATCGATTAAAAATATAAAATATAAAAAACGATTATAAAATAGATAAGCGATTAATTAATCAAATATACGATTAATAATTGTAATTAATTAATTTTACTAAATGATAAAATGTAGACCAAAACACATTATTTCAATTAAATCTTTTCTTAATTAACTTTTTCATGTAAATCGTTTCAAACTGCATCGTAATATATTACAATTCTATTCTTTAAAATTTTAATTCAGTTAATTCCGAAAATATTTAGGCTAGAAATTAGTTAGAATTTCGGAAGTATATCTTTACATTCTTTTGATGATTCAATAACCGTAAATTTATTTTTTCGTCATCAGCCTTTAGCTTCATGTATAACTTTTAAAGTATTGGGGAAACTGCGTTCACGTCAAATTAATGTACCTTTTCTGCTTCTTGGACAACAATACCAAGAATTTTGTGTTGCACCAACATGACACCAAAATCTTTCCGGACAAGCCATATTGCTATCCGAATTTTCATTCGGTCGACATGTTTTTACCGTATCATTAGCTAATAATAACGGTATTCCTTCTTCACAGTAAAGCGAAATGCCTATTAAGATTTTAGCTAATTAATAGCACTTTGTCATCCTTTTACAAGTAAACTGCTTGTAAACTAAGCTATGTTAAATTTAGTAATTAGTTTTGAATAGATGCTAATTTTGATTTACTGCAGTAAATCGATAATTAATGAATTGAGCAAAAAGTGAAAATGCATAATTAAACAAAATATTTAATTGGATTTTTTTTTAAAAAAGAGAATATTTCAATTCGAACATATATAACTTACCAATATTTGTGTCATTCAAAACCAATGAAATGCTTTTAATAATTTGATTTGTTTGAATTATAACAAAAACATAAACAAATACTACAAAAATTATATAATATCGTATATTACCAAATGTCATTTATCTGAAAAGAATTTTTGATAAAATATTCTTAAAATGATATATTTCAAAAATCCACGATTTGCTTGTTTAAGAAAGCAATATAGCTTTCTCCTACTAACAAATTAAAGTATTATTATTATTATTGGGTATAAAAATTTAAATGTTAGAATTTTTTTCATAATTTTGGGAGTAGACAAAGATAAGGAATGAATAGTTAATACAGAAAATTATGAATAGTTAATTAATAAGAATAGTTAATTAATAAAACAGAATAGTTAATTAATAAAACAGAAAATTATGGATCTATCAAAAGCACAGATTGAAAATTGATAAATATGCAATGAATTTGATCTAAACAATTTCTATTTACGATACAGTTGTAAGGATGTGACGAGGAGAGGAGAAGTGATGATGACACACAATAAGTGGTGAAATGGAAGATAGAATTGTGGACAATGAGGTGACCATCACGATGTAAGCTCAAGTATTTTGAGTATGTATAAGAGGAGAAGAAAGAGGTAAAAGTAGATAAGATGGATGAGGAAGAGAAGGAAGAAAAATTTTTGTTTACTAACGACTTACTCTAAATATATGCAAGTGAAATTGCTCGATGAACAAATAGAATGACACAATTGAAAAGCATTGAAATTTCATTCTTTTATCCTACTTATATTATTAAGTAAAATTTTGCTTACAAATATAACTTTTCTTTTACATTCCTTTTTCTGAAATATATATTTTGTGCAGTTACTATTTCACTTATTTTCAAATTATTATTTTTTTCCTCATTTCAAAGTAATCTCTTGCTTTTATATCATCCTTTAATTTGAAAAATTATGATTGTTCGTGGTCTTATTAAAACAAATGAAATCTTATGCCAGAGAGACTTGCAAAATTAAAATTTTTGGCCGATAAAAAGTGTCAAAAAAGAAAATCCTACAATCTGTTTCATTTATATTTGACATATAATTAATTCTATCAATTAGAGTCCTATTTGTAATGCTTAAAGACTAATATTACAATCACGTAGATAGCAGAGTTAATTATTACTCATAAATGCATTTAATTACTTAAAAAAAAATAGAATTACTCATAAAACAGAATTAATTACTCAAAAAGGTATCAAAAGAGCAACACTATCTCAATAGATTCATTTATTTTAAGACATTTTTGTTACTAATAGCATTTGTTTCTCACTTTTAGTGCTAGCTTTGACAATCAAATATTAAGTATAAATTTGAATTTTTTAAATCAAATTTACGCTGTTATATAATTGAGTTATTTCAAATGGAAAATTCGGCTACGGTATAGTACGAAGGCGTAATTACTTGTTCGACGGAACTACCCGTGCGGAACGTTGGGGTTTCCGTTTGCTTATTATAGTAACAGTATACGCTTGACACTGCCGCTTGTTTATTAAATGAATTATATTGCGACGTGTATGTGACAAAACAATGCGTTGTATTTTATGAAGAGCAGCCGGTAAAGATAGATATTGTTGTATCATAAAAAGTACTCTGTTGCTGTTTAAAGTAGACATATGTCATGTATTGACTTGTGATTGAAGAATGTATTTTGTTGCGTAGGAAGCATTCGTGCTATATTTGCTTGTTAATAATTGTAGATGTTTAACACTAACGTGTGAAAATATGTGCAACATTATCACGTTTCATAAGTATGTTGTTCGTGTAACTGCTGGCTGGTCAAAACGTATATCTCTTACGTTACGCAATCCAAGTTACAGGATAGAACAGCATACAAATAATAATCTGAAATTAAATATGTAGTTGTAACTATTTTGACTTTGGAATTCGATTATATATAAATCAATTTTAAATTGTTATGTTCAGGCTTTCGGACGATTAGAATGGCTCGACGTAACGAATGTTTGGAATGCAAAGTATTTGTGGGAGGCCTGCCTAATGATGCATCAAGTGAAGAAGTAACTTATCAAAAACAAAATATTAAACTTTTTATCATAATCAGTAATCTGTGCAAAAAAAAAAAAAATCTGCTTTTCTCAAAACCCATAATATTACTATACTTTATATTATCATACTGGGCAAGTAGCACAGTATTGTGTCAGGAAATTATGTAAATGCTGTGATTTAGGTGTTTTCGTTAATTATTGTTGCTAAAGTGGAATTTATATTAAGAAAATTTTATGCATATAGACCGTTCATCATTGTTAATATCATTTCGATTGCTAGATAATCAATCTTCTATTTTATTAGTGAGTACATGATATGATCAGATCTCTTTTTTTTCTTTTCTTTCCTGGAACTTTCATCAGAATAATTATTTCAGTTAGAAGAAGCATTCAGCAAATACGGTCGCATCAAAAAAGTTTGGTTGGCACGTCGTCCACCCGGTTTTGCATTTATTGAATTCGAAGATAGTCGAGATGCGGAAGATGCAGTAAAGGGACTTGATGGAACGTAAGTTCTTCACTTTTTTGGTGCTCGTATAAGAATTATAAGTTGGCTTTTAGGCATTGCTACAAATATTTTGCTCTGTCATTTCCTTATTTGAAAGGACGGACTGTAATAATGATTTAATAAAATTTGATACATGCTAGAATGTTAAAGAAAAAAGGCATTTTCAGTTTACATTTTCGTATATTTCTCTTTTGTTTTATATTGCGAAGAAATTATTTTACGACCGTAGATAAGTATACAGTATTCAACATCTGAAAAGGAGACAGGAAATAGTATTATGATAAATAATGGGCGAATTTCAGACGCATTTGTGGTGTCCGCCCAAGAGTGGAGTTTTCACATGGTGGTTCACGCCGTGGTGGTCGAGGAGGTGGAGGTAGACGTCGTTCGAGGTTATTTATTTCTTCTAAAAACTTGATAAATGGGTCGGCTTTCATGTCACATAGTAGGATGTTTTGTATTTATTTTTTATGATAACATACGAAAGTTCTATTACTTTCAACAATACGAAGAAAAAAGAAAATAGTATGAAATTGAAATATATATTTTAGCCCGTTACCACCATGTCAGCGCCTCCTACAGGAACTCGTTTTATGAGTTCACTTTCGCTCACTTCATACTACTACTGCAATATCACTGTTCTGAACTTTGCATCCGACGCTTCAGTTATTTTCGCAATTATACCATCTCTGCATCCTTCATTTTTTGCATTGCCGGCGGGTTCAAAGCTTTCGAAAGTGGTCAGCTTGCAAAAAAGATCCGGAAAAAAGGGTCATCGTCTTCTAAGTCTTCAAAAACGCTTCATCACTATCCAAAAAATAAAGTTAACTGGCTACATCGTCTGCACAATTTCATTGTTATAAACGGCCGCGCAGCTGCGGTATCCGTGTGCTCGGTGGTCTCTACCACAGATGTATCACGTATATGTCACCGCAAAGCTTCCACACTTCTTTCTACTTGTATCACTTAACTCGGTAAGAAAATTTGCAGTAGGAATACCTGAGTATATATAACATATATATTTATATATATGTATAAGACTTCAGATAATTTTTATTTGCACTAGAAACCTGTCAATATAGGTAAAAATAATCGCTAATATAAGAGGAATTTCCCGGATGTTTCCAACGAGGGGAGGAAGCATTGCTGTAAACCAAGTGATTGGAAGCAGGTAGCACAAACTCCTTGCTTATCCGATATTTAGAAATAAAATAGTTCCATAACATTATTTTGGGTGTATTTCGAGATTCTAATATAGTTTCATTTATGGTATGCTGTCCTAGCATTACCATGAAGATGTACTGCGTTTTATTATCTGGAAATGCTGGCGTGCGAGAAACAGGAAGGGTTCTCTATAAGTTGCTGATAGTCTGACTGCAATACTTTGGTGGTTGACAATGACAATGTGAACTTCTTTCTGATGACCCATCGGCAGTTTAGTCCGATATCATCGGGATATGCCTTTGTTTTTACTTGAAGCTTATATCAGTTTTGTATTGTGTACTCTGTTTCGACGATTTTGTCTGTTGCTCTTGGATGAACTATTAGGATTCATTTTCTCAGATGTGGAAGCATAATTGTGGACAGTAGAGTGTATTGAAGATTTGACCTTATTTTAAGTTCTGGTGGTATTTACCGTCCTGCACTTGATATTACCAATTTCCTATTTGTAGGACACCGATACGCCGACGATCACTCAGTCGTTCGCGCTCACCGCTGCCGCGAAGATCGCCGCGGTATAGCCGTAGCCGTAGTCGCAGTTTGAATAGGTATTTTCTGTTTCTTCCAAGATCCTTGTTATAGCAATATAAGTTTTAGTACGGCATGGGTTTAGATTTTCTCTTTTGAAGCAAAATGGGCTAGTAAAATCCAAAAAAAACAATAAAATAGCAAAGAGATTTTTTGCTTTGCACTTTTTTAAAAAATTACTTTGATTTTTCTGGGATTATTTACTATACGGACCATTTTAATAACTGTCATCTTGGAGATGTTGAATTTTTTAAATTTATCTTTCATTCTAGCTGAACTAGTCACTGTTAAGATTTATGGTGTTAAGATCCTTAACTCAGTTATTATTATTATCAGTAATTATTCAAGAAGCTGTAAAATAGGGGCTGTTATTTTAGGGATAAATGAGCGGGCCGATAATAGTGCGTTCCAATTCACGTAAGTTAAATCTGTATTGGTATTTGATGGAGAGTTCGAAAGAATGCTTACAGTTTTATGCTACCAGTTTATGATTCATTTTTCCCTCGTTAATTACTTTAATACAAAGACGGTATATTCAGTAAAATGAAATTGAAAACTATTTTTATAAAAATGCACTGCAAATGTTGTGGTTATTGCTTATCTGTCATTGATCTTTTCTCAATACTTTTAAAACGAAACTTGAGCCATTTTGTATCCTGGTATCTTATCCTTGATTTGTCCATTTCAGATATGAAACTCAAATTTTTTATTTCTTAACATTAAAGTAATCGCTTGGAATTTCCTCGAGTTATGTTTTTTGCAATTAATGCTTTTTTTTCAGGGCAAATAGTGTGTGACCATCCAATAAGATGGCACAGAAATATTGATTAATTTCTCTTATTCTTAATATAATCTAGAATGTTTCTATCATTGTTTGTCATAAAAGTTAAAAAAAAAAAAAAAAAAAAAAAACATTGTAAGGTTGATTGCTATACCAGCACTTTTATTTGAGATTTTTATATTTTATCTGCATAACTATCAGCATTATTCGTTATGTGGAACAGCATTTCAATGGCTAAAAAATGTTGAAACAAAATAGAAGATAGATTCAAAATATCGAAATGATACACTTTCGTACACACTGATGATAATCATACTTTATGAATCGTTAATAGCTTACTTTAACCACTCAAAATACTTTGGGAGGATTTATTATTTATAAGAAAATAACAATGCCTCCAAATAAGAAATCATTCTTGCCGTACCACTGGCATTCCATAATTTTTCTTTCTGAATTTGTTATTTCACTATTTTTGTATTTTTAAAAATTCGGATTTTGGAATAAACCACTCGACATTGTCATTTATGCATTTACTGTTAAATATCGTTATTCGTTTTTCGCTCTTTGCAGCTTTAAAATGGGTATAATGCCCAGCTTTTATCTCATATATTAATGAATGTAAATGTTGATAACACAGAGTGATAGTGATACAATTTTAGTTATTGGTGGGAAGGTAGTACTACTGATATTAATTTCGCCAGTGTTTCGCTGGAGTCAGGCAAACTTTAACACTTAAACTAGGTAGAGGAAGGGTTCGCTTCTTTATCCTTAAATTGCAGTGTGTTGCTAACATTTCATATTATTGACTTGGAAAAATTAAGTGGTTTGTTCTTCATATGAATATAGCCTACTTTTTTGTCTTCATAACCTAGCATTTAGAATAAGCTTTCAATTTTTGAAAATGTAATCTGTACAAAAATTAGCGAATCTTAGTTTTCCTCTTATTTTAATCCTTTTTTAAATCTAAAGGTTGATCATATAATTTATTTGCTGAATATGTCACGACGATCAGACCCGCTCGATTGTAAAGTATACGTTGGAGGCTTACCACAGGATGCTACATCACAGGAGGTTAATCAATTTTAGTAATTGGATTTGTGTTATAGTGCATTGTGTTGATACACTTTTTTTATTGTCCACCAATTAACCACTGAGAAAGAATTCGATTTTTTTTTTGTTAAGCGATATTTACCTCTTGTTTCCTCTTTATCAAAAAAAAAAATACACTTTGTTTTTTATTTTGTTTTTCCAGCTTGAAGATGCATTCAATCGTTTTGGTCGTATACGTAAAGTTTGGGTTGCCCGTCGTCCTCCAGGATTTGCTTTTGTGGAATTTGAAGATGCCCGAGATGCTGAGGATGCTGTAAAAGCGTTGGATGGGACGTAAGATTTGGTTCTCTTTTTTTATTTTCATATTTAGCTTCAGAATATTTTGTTTTGCTTTGGTAAATTAATTGGAACTTTGTATTTCTTGTTCTCATTTTTCTTAGAAGAATTTGTGGTGTACGTGCTCGTGTAGAAATTTCACATGGTCGTCGACGAAATGGTGGTTATGGAGGGGGTGGAGGTGGTGGTGGTGGTGCTTACTATGAGGGTGGTCGCCGGCGTTCAAGGTATGCTTAATGATTTGTTCAAATCTTTTACTTAGCTGTTACCTTTATGTATATAGTTAACTTGTGTTTTTTTTGGTCTTTTTTAAATCAAAACTTATATCTTATTACACACACTCACATAAAATTAAAGCACTACTAGAGGATGGATTTTTACTTTGAACTTATTCGTAATTTTTTCCTTCACTAAAAAAGTTAACTTATATCACCGGACAGAATAGTCTCTGGTTCGACAAATGCACTCATATATCATTCAACTTCACGCAAGTATTTCCATTTTGTCATTCTTGCAGTCAGAGCTATTTTTTATTGCCATAATATCAATGCTTAGAGAAAATAGGCTTGGTGATTAGTTATGTAAGATTGTTTTGTAAGAGTAAAATTTCCAGGTATTTGGAGGCGAAAAGAGTAAGTTATTTTACCCCATCCATGCAGTTACCACAGCCATTACTACTACTACTACTGCTACTACTATTGCTACTACCACTACTATCACAACTCATCTCAACATCAACACCTACTTCATCTGCTTTGCAACTACTACTATCAGTTCTACTGTTGCCTAACGAACATCTTCGTAGAAGCATTACGACTTTTTCATCACTTCATCGATCTTCGTCACCTATACACTTCTCTGCAACAAAATGCAGCAGGGAATTTCCCGCATGAAGTAGGAAATTTCCATAGTTCGGTTGGTCTGAATGAGGCATGAACGAAGGTATATCCTTCCGTAATTTTACCCTCTTTACACTTCAATATAACGAACGAAGCACTTGCATTTGTAAGTGCTATCATTCAAGAAAATCGAAATAGTTCATATTGAAAGAAAAAAAAAAGCATCAATACAACTTTCTTTGCCAACATATATTATTTCATATCAAACAGTATTCATCATCATCATCATCATTACCTCATTATCATCATAATCGTTATCACTATTGTCATTGTCACGGTTGTCAATCATGAATAATCATTATCATCGTCCTCGTCATTCATGATTATCATCGTCGTCGTCATCAGTTATGATCATCATCGTCGTTATCAGTTATTATCATCACCGTCGTCGTCATCATCATCACTCATCATAATGATTATCGTCATCATCATCATCATAACCATCATCATCTAAACAACATCCATTCATCATCTCTGGATGGTAAGAAATTCGAATTTCGAAAGAGGGATAGTTATTTTTCCTCACAAAAAAATTTTTTTTAACTTTTTGACTAACAGCTGACTATTTGGAAAGTTATTTTAACCCCTTTTTCTCTTTCTAAAGTTTTTTTGCATTTTTCATTTTTTATTTTCTTGTCTTTTTAATAGTAGTAGCATTATATAAAACGTTTTAAAAAATTTTGTTTTTGATTTTGATGAACCTCTATTTTCTGTGATGATTTATGAGAAATGTGTCAATTTCATTCTCGTAATTTTTATCATCAAATCCTTAAATGTAGTAATCCATGTATAATACATTGGATACCTTTTATTGCTTAATGCATAATTGTGTTTTATTTAATGATGGTATTGTACTTTAAAACTTTACGTGAATGAATTCATCGCATATCTCGCTTCATTCATTACAGTTAATAGGGGTTTATCGAATTAGTATATGTAAGTTTGTAAGCTTAAATCAGTATGTGTAAATAGATATGGTTTTCTTCCTTTTGTTAGGAGAAATTATTGAATGTGAATTTATAGAATTTGCCATAAATGTTTTTGAAGGTCACCGTATTATCGGAGAACACGTAGCCGTTCTATCACACCTCCGCCACGTAAGTCGCCTCGATATGATGAAAGACGGAGTATGAGTAGAAGTTTGAGCAGGTAATGATTTTGTAACTTTTTTTATGGTCAGGCAATTTTATTCAGTAAATGTTTGAAACGGAGAGATTAGGAAAAGCGCAGAAAAGTAATATGTAGAAATTATTTTCCTGTTTTCTTATTGCTAATTATAAGAGTTATTAGTTTATGGGTTATTCATTAAAGCATTTGCAAGCAGCTGGTAATGGGATGAATGATACGAAAAAAGATTTTACGAGTTTTGATTAGTCAGATTTGAATCATACTTTGTTTCATTGCATTACTAGCAATAGATAGTCCATATTCTCATGTTTTATCATCAATGAAAATCAGATCTTTTTCGTGTCGTACTGCCAAGGAACAATGTTAAATATGTTTTTAGAGAGTAAGCACGACAATGCTGAAGGAAAATCGTACTATATGTTTGATTTAAATTCTTAATTATTGTGAATCAAGTTCCTTAATACATGCTTTCTGTGCACTAAACATATTTGAAATTAAAAAACTTCAATTTCAAAAATTTTTTGCCCATTTTTGCTCTCCTTTCCTGGATAAAAGAGTTAAACTAATGATAAGGACTCACATTGGTTTATTTTGTTGGTTTAAAAAACAAAAAACCAAAACAAAACATGATCATTTCCGTATGAAATAAATCCCCATCAGTGCATACATCTTTAAACTAAGTATGTTTGTGGCAATTATTTATGTCGTGTACTCAATATCCATGATGAGATTGCTGTTCTTAATTTGTTTTTATTTTGAAGAAATTCCGATGTTAAAGGAAACATTTTTACATTTTTTGATGTAGTCTGTTATTTTAAAAATAGTATGTGCATTTTGTATCATCCAGTTGTTTTCTTTTTCCTTTTTTTTTTCTTTGAAATTTGTTGAATAAAAGTGCTATGTTGTAAAATACCTTTTTATCATTTCAAAACTATTCCTTCTCACTTGCATTTATAAGCACAAGACAAATCAATATATAGGCAAGCCGATCAAGTAATTTAAAAACTCTCTAAAATATCTGTGAATTCGATTAATTCGTGCAGGTTCAGAATTATTGGATAAACAAAATATTCTATAATTAAGATTCAACAGAATTTTATAGCAAATAACTTTAAAATTGTCAAAGCAATAACAATTTTTGTATGAAATCCAGCAACATTTTATATCTTAATATCACACATCATTATAGTTCGTCACTTTTAAACAATTATAATTCGTCATTTTTAAAATAATTCTTTCTACGTTTAGCAAAAGGTGAGCGAAATAAATTGATGCCATATTCATCTTGTAATTTCTGAGCACGATCCAAAATAATCTGATAACGATTGACAAATAACGGTTCTACAGTTCTCTTCAAATCATTAATCTGCAAATAGTGAGACAATTCTGTCAAATTAGAAATAGAAAAAAAAAAGAAAAAAAAGATTTTGTTATCCAAATTTTGTATTGATATAAAAATTAGTAGAATTTCAAGTGATTATCAAGTTGAGAATTGAAATTATATCAGCTAAAGAATTTAATGTGTAATAAATATACTGGAAGAGGCATAGATATTAACAATGTTTTGTGGAAAATACGAAGGATAGTGAGTGAAACATTGGAGATCAGCAATAGAAGTTTGGCAAAGTGGTTGAAAAGAGTTGTCCATTAAATGAGAAATGAAAATGCATCCAAATTAATTTTTAGAAATCAAAAAGATAAAAATAAATTAAAATTGAAATTTAAAAAAAAATAAAAGGAAATTTATGCTTAATTAAAATAACAACCATTTTCTTTTCCTCAAGATTACTTCTAGTCGGATCTTGCCGAAAAATGTCAACGATCTGGATAGCATCTATTACTAACGGTGGTAATTGATCTATTTCAATTCCAAGTTCTTCACGTTTTTCATAAGCTTCTTTTTCTGCTCTTCTCATATTTTCATCAAATGCTTTCTGAAAAGAAAGGAATTTATCGATTTTGAAAAAAAAAAAAAAAAAAAACTTTCACATAGTTTATCGTTGAGCAGCAAAACTATCTTTCTCGACAACAACAATAAATAGCAAAAAATTACTCAAAATTCATAAACAATGCTAAATAGGAAATTTAAAAAAAGAAAAAACACAATGACAACGTAAGCGGAAGATGAAATTTTATGATAAACAAAAAGAAAGAGAAGAAAATTTTCATCCTATCAACACACTTCTGAATATTTCCATGTATTTTCTGTTTAAGTATTTTTTTTTTTTGATAAATTTTTGAAAAAAAAAAAAACTCTAAAATGTTTCCATTTTAAAATTATAAATTAAGCCAACCATAAAATTGGGTCCTTCATTTTTTGCCCATTCAGATAATTTCATATAAATGATATCGATATCTTGCATTTCATTATTTGCAATATTTTGAAATAACCGTTGACCATTACTGGATGCATTCTTAGATAATGGAGTTAGTAAACGAATAATCCGTCGTTTTGAGGCACTAGCTGAACCGGAAAAATTTAACAGAACGGAAAAGTGTAACAGGATAAAGTATAGCAATTGACCGGAAAATAATGTCATTCTTGTTTTATTTTGAAATTATAAAACTACTAAAACTCAATACATAATATTAGATTTTATCTATTTAAAATTAACATCTCTTGTGAATTATTATGAGTCAATTTTAAACTGATAAATATTCTCACACCCTTATTCGATATCTTTTCTGGGAAGTTTAATGATTTTTGACTGATAAAAAATTATTATATGATTTTATTACTAGATTATTTATTATTATTATTATTATTATTATTATTATTACTTTACTTTTTTTTTATTACATCAGTCTTGTATATTGATAGTGGAAATGTTTTAACATTCAATTTTCTGTTAAAGTAATTTCTATTTTAATTTTTGTCGATTGAATTTCATCTCTTCTTTTTCCTTTTATTTTCTCACTTTTTTTTTTTTTTAAAAAAAATTATGTGTAATATTTTTTGTGACAAATTATTTACCATTTTTTTTTCTACATATTGATTCCACAAGAATTAATAATAAAAAATGATAATACATCAACAAAATAATCATGATATAAATCAATCGATATAATCTTTGAATGTTGCATGTTCATTTGATAATTTCTTAATGAATTATTTATTTTACTTGCAATTATTCGCCAAATTAAGTTTTCAAATACTTTATCAAATAAATTATGATGAGCAGTTGTTAGACAAAGATGACAAATAAATATTGAAATGTAAAATATTCGAACAGATTGTGCTCAATTTCTTTCATCGATTCTACCGATAAGTTCATGAAAAATAAGCAAAGCAATTTAATTGAAAAAGTAATCTCAAAACAAGGACGGAGCACAGGAAAGTTTCGATAAACATTAACAGTTAACAGATATCATTGACTAAAATGAAAATCGTAATAATGAAATCACTGAGACCGAAATTTTCGGTCTTCTCGATTTACTAGAAAGAAATAAGTTCGAAATCAAGCTCTACTGCTTAATCCTTTTTCTTCTTATATCTCTTTTTCAGCAATTCATCTTCATTTTTTTAGCTTTTCAATACTGTTTTCACTTTTACTTCTTACAAACAATAATAATAATAATAATAAATAAACAATAATAATATAAAGCTATGTTTAAAGGAAAATCTAATCTCGACCATAAGCTGTGCACATATGTGACTTCAAGAAAATAATACACATTTTAATCCGTTTTTTCAACCTTTACTTTTTCCTACTATTCTTTCTTAATAGGATTTTTACTTCTAAAGCAGACCGTATTTCCAAACTTTTTTTTTTTTTTAGAAAAGAAAAATGTACAAGGAACAAGACTATTAAATCGGTTAATACAATAGTTTTTGTTGATTAGAAATTTCCACCTCATTTACTTACTACTACTACTACTACTACTACTATTATTATTATTATTAAAAAGTAACTGATCAAGACAACTGTTGCTATTTCAACTCTTTTCAGAGTTGAATTTGTACAAGTGAATTCAGAAGAAAAATCCAATGATTACTTTTGCCCTTAAGAAAAGGAAAGGCAAATATAAGGAATACGAAAAGAAAGTGCCAATATTTAAGATAATATTGCTCTCTCTATCCACGCTTATCATATTACAACTTTCCAATGCATAAATACATTATTTCCAATTCTCACTACATCCCAATCTCAATCTTTGTTGAGAGAGAGGTATAATTCAAAGATATCCGACACTCTTCAATCTGTAAAAATATGGATGATAATGAAAGAAATGAGTTCAAATCACTTCAACAGCATTGAACAAGAACGTATATTCATCATTTGTATTTGAAGGAAGGACAAAAAAAAAAAGAAAAGGATAAATTGAAATTACACAACTTCTGAGCAAATAACCAAGTATAACTAATAAATGTATTTCTTGACGAAAATTTCTCGCTATTTCCTCCCCAATCGAATACATATATATATAAAAAAAACTGAAACCAAAATAATTGATAGAGCATCCCGTAATTAACACCATATGAAAATATTGAAGAGTTAAATAGTTAAACAGTGTTTCTAGAAATTCCAAGCAGAACTACAGAACGACTTTAAAATTCAATCTACCACCATTAGTATCGCATCGGATGAAATTTAGGTCTACTGCATTCTGTTATTTTAAAAAGATTGAACAATTCATAATTTTTTAACAAAACAGAACAATTGAGCTAATTGAGAAAAACAAATTAGAATTGCTGCAGCAATTGCGTTTGCTAATATTGCTTAAGTTATAGGAAGTCAAATCTGCTTCAGAAGAAACATTTCAGTTGTAGGTTTTGGCAACAAACAAGTCGTAAGTCATGTAAAGTAGAAATAAGCAAAGGAACTATTTTTGACAATTTTGATTGCTTTCTTCATTTGCTCACTTTATTTCATAAAGACGGTGAACAATCTAATGTCTAAGTAAAAAATAAAAAAAAAAAATGAAAAATAATATCTACAAGTTAGTTAGCATTGCTTTGCAGCAAATACCCAACGCCGATCTATGTCTTAAGAATTGTGCAACTTTCCAACTTCTCAGTCTCCTTGTTTGTCAGCAAACAGTTCATTAAATTCATGTCACCTCGACCAAAAAATGTGATTATTATAATCACAGAGAAACAGATATGAATACAATTTAAAAAAAGAAAATGAAGACAAAAAATATTTGAACTCTGCTACATAAGAATAATACAAAATATTATCCACAAGTACAAAAAAGTACTTCATGTGTAGTCCAGCCTAAATGTTCGTACTTCCATTGGTTCCAGTGATATGTTACTTACGTCACCAGGGTAATCATATAACATTGTTAATGAAGTTTCCGCTACATGTGAAGGTGATTTCACGAATAAACGCTTTACATCAAGCTGAAAAATATTAAATTTAGAATTTTTTTTTTAAATTTAAAAATCTATTAAGTTATTCAATCAATACTACGCACACACAATCTTTTATCAAACTATGATAGCTATAATATCATGCAATTTCATATTTAAATTAAACTACTAATTGATTCCCAAGTTTGAAGTCAATGTTTCACTCACCTTTTCTGGAAAATTATTCCTATAAGTGCATGTAATACTATTCAATTCTCAGGCTTCTACATTTACATTTTAAAAGATAGTAAAATATTTAAGAGATAATAAAATATTAGCGAAACATACCGTAGCAGTACATGTTTCTGGCGATTTACTAGTAAAACGGCAATCAGTAGCAAAGCGGTGTAAAACAAGAGCATATGAATTACGAGGTGTGTGAATGTGAACTGAACGAGTGTCGTAAATAGTTGGAGCTGCTAAGGTACGTAGAGTAATCAGATGTGTATCATCACACGAGAAGACAGTATTCATCAACTTATAATTATCCATATAATCTGAAAGATAGCAATAAACACTGATAAAGCATCATTATCAGTTTCCATGAATAACATTATAATATTGCAACCGTCATAACCTAATTCACTAGGAAAAAATTGTAGTTGAGAATTAAAGTTGTCATGTGGTGGATAAGTTAGAAATAAATGAAATAATCTCGACATATATTGATATACCAATTTGCCTATGAGGTGATTCATGCTATTAAAGAGCAGCCAAATTTAAAACAACCAAATAACAGTTATTTTTTCAAATGAAACATTACTATGACTATATGTTCTGCTTTGTTAAAAGGGAATCCTTAACAGGAAACGTAATTCAAACTTGAAATTGAGATTAACCTTCACTGAGATTAGTGAGCAATATTACAGGCGGATATAGCAATGACAGCATTCGATCGTAAGCATGCGCCGAATGATAAGCAGTAATTCTGGCTTTTGTATTTACCGGCACATTCCGAGAAGGAACTTCAAACACGAGTCGAAAAGAGCTTGTTGTTTTTTTGTTATCCATTACACCCTACAAATACTCGAAAAAATTTTTTTATCGTTTTTTAAAATAACCTAATGTAATAGTTTATTAAATGTCTGATTATTAGAGAGAGAGGAAAAAAAAAACGAAACAGCATGAAAACATATCGATTAACTAAGTTAAATGAACCCTTTAAAAAAAAAATCCTCATTAGCTAACATCAAAAGCACTGAATAAATCAGATAACCTTAATTTTAATTTTAAAAACAAAACACATACACTGAAAAGACCTCTTCCATCATCCTGATTTAAGCGCCGGTCCAACATTACATCCATCTGTCCTGCAATTAATCCTCCGTTGGAAAACATCATTTATATTCCCTCCTTAAAGCTTAAGATCCTAAGACAAGCATACGACTATTAATATTCCTTCCAATAACCGTTATTTATTCGTTACCACTACCATTGTAATACTGTCTTATAGCTGATGAATACTACTAATTTATCTCATCATTATTATGGTTATTAATTTTTCTTCACTGAAACTATAGGAAAAAAAGAATGAGAAAATTATTAAGCTGCATACCACTAGCAAGATTTGCAACTCCTGAAGGTTGAGCACTCAAAAGTGTCATACGTAGCATTTCATCTTCTATGAAAGCTGAAGAAGGCATCGGAAAGAAATGAGCTTGCAGCGGTAGTTGCTTGAGTCTACGTCGTTTCACCATCTCAAACAATATATAAATTGAAATTTAATCACAAAAAAAAAAAAAAAGTACCGTAATTTTTAATTAAAATTGAACCTTGATTACACTTATTTTTTATAATCCTCCTATCTAAAACAGTACAATGTTTCAAAAGTGCAAAAAGAAAAAAAAATCCTAAAATAAGAACGCATGGATCGAAATAATACACCTACCACTAAGTTATTTAACCTAAAAAAAGTGCAAACATAAGAAATTAATACGCCGTTGATTCTGAAGTTTTGCTGAACCTTATATTTCTGCTTTAATTCCTATTCTTAGATTAGAATATGCTTTTAGCACTTTTTATCTAACAGAAATACCTCAGTACTACTACTATTAAAAACAAGCTTGACAATGACCTTTCAAAATTATTAACTTTTATATCAACAAAAAATTCATTGGCACAAGTCTGCTGTAGCATAAAAAACTTACTACTATTATTTTTCTTATTTCTATCATTTTTGTTAAA